TACTTTATTTGAAAAATGTTTATTATTTTCAAATCAAAGCAACATTTTTCAATAAAATTTTAGTTTTCTTATGCTTCTTTTAGTTATTATTCTCTCTCCCTAACTCAAATAATTAATTAATGCCAAAATAATACTAAAGTACAAAAAATCAACATGCTATCAATACCCACATTGAGAACACTCATCAGACGAACGTATGTTTTGCAAGTGAACGGTTGTGGTCAAAGATACAGAGGAAATTGTGTTCAAGCAGCTGTTAGTAAAGTTGGCAAAATGTTGCAAACTTTTGAAGATCGTGTTTTTCAACAAATCGATAGAAAATATAATTCATCGATAGATTATGATAAAAAAATTTCGCCAGACAACAAATATTATCAAATAAATAATAAGACTGCCAGTAAACATAATAATAATGAACAAAATATTTATCAAGAATATGAGGTAAGTCGGCTGAATATTTTCTAAATTTTATATCCAAAGTAAAGAGAAATATTTATTATATCTTTTTCAACTCTCTTAAGGAAGCTGTCAAAGCCTTAAATGCTTTACAATCGAATGCCGAATCGTTGCGTAGTTCTATCCATAAACGTAAACGTTTAAATTCTTTACAAGATACTCAACGGTATTTACTTAAAAGTGGCCTGACTACCAAAGATTTGGAAAAACTATCTTATATACATGTGACGGGTACCAAGGGCAAGGTGAGTAATGTAAAAAAAATGTTTTTTATATAAAAACAATTTCGTATTAGAAATAGGTATTTTTTTCATAATTAGTTAAGACGTATGTGTCTAGTATTTTTGCAAGTAGGTGCTGTTTATTTTTGTTATATATTTTTTTCTATTTTGATAAGAATAATATTTAATTACATATTGCAAAAAAAAAAAAACTTTCATACTTTATGTATATTTCTTTATACAGTGTTAATTGCTTGTGGGGTTTTATTTTTCTTTTTTATAATTCAAAGAATTTAATATGTTTCATCAAGTTACACAAATTGTAATAATATTTACAAAAACATATAAATAATAAATATTCATTTTAAATTATCAAATTATTACTTGATTAGGGCGATTGTTTAAATCTCAGTTTATAATGATAAATAAATTATCTATAGTCTAGAATATAGTCTAATCTATAGTCTGGACTATGGTCTGGTATATAGTCTGGTCTATACTATAATCTATATATATTAGAATATACTATAACTAGACTATAGACTAGACTATAGACAAGACTATAGACAAGACTATAGACAAGACTATAGATAAGACTATAGATTGACTGGACTATAGATAAGACTAGACTTTAGACTAGACAAGACTACTGACTAGACTATAGCCTAGATTATAAACAAGACTATAGGATACACTATATACCATTCTATAGACTAGACTATTGACTGACTAGACTGTAGACTAGGCTATGGACAACACTAAAGACTAGACTGTTGTCTAGTCTTTAGTCTCGACTTTATTCTAGTCAATAATCTAGTATAGACTTTAGTCTAGTCAATTGTCTAGTCAATAGTCTAGTCTATAGTCTAGTTTATAGTCTAATCTATAGTTCAGTCTATTGTCTAATTTATAGCCTAATCAATAGTCTAGTCTATAGTTTAGTCTATAGTCTAGTCTATAGTCTAGTCTATAGTCTAGTCTATAGTCTAGTCTATAGTCTAGTCTATAGTCTAGTCTATAGTCTAGTCTATAGTCTAGTCTATAGTCTAGTCTATAGTCTAGTCTATGGTCTAGTCTATAGTCTAGTCTATGGTCTAGTCTATAGTCTAGTCTATAGTCTAGTCTATAGTCTAGTCTATAGTCTAGTCTATAGTCTAGTCTATAGTCTAGTCTATAGTCTAGTCTAGTCTATAGTCTAGTCTGTAGTCTAGTCTATAGTCTAGTCTATAGTCTAGTCTATAGTCTAGTCTATAGTCTAGTCTATAGTCTAGTCTATAGTCTAGTCTATAGTCTAGTCTATAGTCTAGTCTATAGTCTAGTCTATAGTCTAGTCTATAGTCTAGTCTATAGTCTAGTCTATAGTCTAGTCTATAGTCTAGTCTATAGTCTAGTCTATAGTCTAGTCTATAGTCTAGTCTATAGTCTAGTCTATAGTCTAGTCTATAGTCTAGTCTAGTCTATAGTCTAGTCTAGTCTAGTCTAGTCTATAGTCTAGTCTAGTCTAGTCTATAGTCTAGTCTAGTCTATAGTCTAGTCTAGTCTAGTCTATAGTCTAGTCTAGTCTATAGTCTAGTCTAGTCTAGTCTATAGTCTATAGTCTAGTCTAGTCTATAGTCTAGTCTAGTCTATAGTCTAGTCTAGTCTATAGTCTAGTCTAGTCTATAGTCTAGTCTATGGTCTAGTCTATAGTCTAGTCTATAGTCTAGTCTATAGTCTAGTCTATAGTCTAGTCCACAGTGGGGCAGAATGGAAATTTTTTGGAAATAAATCTGGCATTTCTAAACGGCTGATCCGATCGGGATAAAATTTGGCGTGAGCGTAGCCAAGGAGTATTCGAGTTTAAGTTTTGAAGATGAACCCTGCAGATGCCCCAGGGACGGCGCTGTGGCGGCTCAAAGTAGGGTACCTACGACATGTAAAATTTTTAAACTCGTGCCATTTTTTTGTTTTTCACCCAAATACAAAGATTTTTATATTTTGTGAGAGCGCTCGACGAGATCTTGAAAAAACATGCTTGGACATACTACTTATCTCTTATAATATCCGAGTTATAGGCATTTAAAAATTTAGTGATACAAAATTTACCATACCTTGGTCCGCCTTTTTTTGAATACCGGGCGTAATTTTGGACCAAATGGACTCAATTTTTTCTTGTTAGTTAGACAACAAAATTTCCAATAATATACAAAAAATTTCAGATCAATATTGTTTACAGATCCAAAAATATACGTTTTTTAATTTAAAAATTCAAAAAATTTTAGATTTTTGGCGTTTTTTTGCCAAAAATATGTCTTAACTCTTTTATTAATAAAATAAAATTTTTATTAAGAACATATAACAATTTTATAGTTTTCTAAAAGGTATCTTTACGCAGAACGCTTTGGCGTAAAAAACTTGTCCTATTTTTTGAAAATGTTGCCACTGCGTCCTTCCGAATATGACCTATTTTTTATCAAAACTTCAACTTTGGGCGACATGTTCTAAAATCCCAAAGCTGGGATCAGAAAACTGAAAGCAGTTTTGGAAACCTCAATATGTTTTCTATTTACTCCAAAAGTATTTTCCCAGCCCTGAAAGAAATGTGGACCCTATGGGCAAAAAAGTAAAAAATCCCATTTTTGGGATTTTCATTCCTATTTTTGGGAATTGCGGGATGCCCTTTGACCTTTTCAATTTTTTTTTTGCATATTCTTATTTGAAATGACAAATTTAACAAGCGTTGAAAATTTCATTGAGTTTTGTTCATAAATAAAGATTTTGTCATATATTACATATTTGTTTAATTTCTAAAACTATGATTTATATCAAAATTTTAATAGGATCGCAGATAGCTACAACAATTTAGTCCATATTTATCCCTTAATATCATTTTTTAGTTAGATATGGAAATTCTCGACCCTTTACAAAAAATTTCAAGCCAATATCTCAATTACATTCAAAAATATGTTCATTTAAACCTGTGTCCTTTAATTTCATCTAAAATTTTTTTAATTTTTAAATTAAAAAACGTATATTTTTGGATCTGTAAACAATATTGATCTGAAATTTTTTGTATATTATTGGAAATTTTGTTGTCTAACTAACAAGAAAAAATTGAGTCCATTTGGTCCAAAATTACGCCCGGTATTCAAAAAAAGGCGGACCAAGGTATGGTAAATTTTGTATCACTAAATTTTTAAATGCCTATAACTCGGATATTATAAGAGATAAGTAGTATGTCCAAGCAAGTTTTTTCAAGATCTCGTCGAGCGCTCTCACAAAGTATAAAAATCTTTGTATTTGGGTGAAAAACAAAAAAATGGCACGAGTTTAAAAATTTTACATGTCGTAGATACCCTACTTTGAGCCGCCACAGCGCCGTCCCTGGGGCATCTGCAGGGTTCATCTTCAAAACTTAAACTCGAATACTCCTTGGCTACGCTCACGCCAAATTTTATCCCGATCGGATCAGCCGTTTAGAAATGCCAGATTTATTTCCAAAAAATTTCCATTCTGCCCCACTGTGTAGTCTATAGTCTAGTCTATAGTCTAGTCTATAGTCTAGTCTATAGTCTAGTCTATAGTCTAGTCTATAGTCTAGTCTATAGTCTAGTCTATAGTCTAGTCTATAGTCTAGTCTATAGTCTAGTCTATAGTCTAGTCTATAGTCTAGTCTATAGTCTAGTCTATAGTCTAGTCTATAGTCTAGTCTATAGTCTAGTCTATAGTCTAGTCTATAGTCTAGTCTATAGTCTAGTCTATAGTCTAGTCTATAGTCTAGTCTATAGTCTAGTCTATAGTCTAGTCTATAGTCTAGTCTATAGTCTAGTCTATAGTCTAGTCTATAGTCTAGTCTATAGTCTTGGCTATAGTTTAGTTTATAGTCTGTAGTCTAGTCAGTAGTTTAATGTAAAGTTAAGTTGTAAGTTAAGTCTATATTTTAGTCTATAGTCTTGTCTTTAGTCTTGTCTATAGTTTAGTCAGTAGTTTAGTCTACAGTTTTGTCTATAGGCTCGTCTACAGTGTAGTTTATAATCTATCCTATAACAAAGCCTATAGTTTAGTGTAACGTTAAAAGTTAAGTCTTTCAACTTAACTTAAGTTTACTTAAATGGTCTAGTCTAATCTATAGTTTAGTCTTTGAGTATTAATACTTCTACGATCGAGTCTTATGATCTCTTCCCAAAAAAATTCCTCTGCTCTAATTTTTCTTTCCAAATTATCAATATGATCAAAACATATGTTCCGATAAGGCAATGAATGAAAAAGAAAACATGAATTAAAAAAAAACTATTCCAAGTACATAGCAGCTATAAACAATAAAACCTATCTAAATATTAAAACTTATTGATAAAGTATGAACCGAAATAGTAACAAAATTGTCATAAAACCTTAATATTCTGAATCATAAACCAGTTTAAATTGGTAATACATATTGAAAATTTATGATCTAATCTATTACGTATTTGTACTTAAGTTGACTTCTAGAGGACAGTGTAAACAAAAACGTAAACAATATGTATTAGGGCTGTGCATAGTCTCTAGACTAGAAATTACAAAAACAAATTAATACAATGTTTTATCTCTATAAGGCAGCAGCTTAAATTTTCTAAATTTAAATGTATTTCAAATTCCTGTCATTTATTTTAAGTTTACGTTCAAAGTAGTAGAATATTTTGCAACAAAAACTAGTATAGATTTAAATGATAATGACACTTTACATTGTTTTTGAAAATTTCAAATTATTTTTAGACAATATTTCATGTTCATGTGTCATGCTAGTGCTAAGAATCTGCTGGTTGGTAGGTAGGTTGCATAGGCAACTCCTAAAATTTTAATTCAATTCGTTTTTAAAAAAATATTTGTTGTTTTTTTTCTATACGCAATTTCTATATAAATATAACATTTCCAATTGATAACCTTAGGATTGAACTATTAAAGTAGAGTGAGTGTCTTAACAGGCTAAATCCACTTAAAACATGTTACGTGTGTTGGATGACCAAGCACATCTCTTCCGACATTATGCAAACTTTTGCAATAGTTTTTTGTTTGGACAATTTATAAAAGATAAGATTATTATTATGAACTTCAATATTTTTATCTTTATATTGAAATTGTTTTTGGTACTAATTGGTATTTAGGTTTGTTTTGAATGGGAAAATTTGAAGTGAAACACAAGTTAGGTGATTAATATTTTAGATTTTAAAATATACTCGAAAGATAGAGAATAACTTGAATGATTTCTTTTGAGAAAACATAATCCAAACTAATAGCCCAATAGTAATAGTCTAGTCTTAAATACAGCTTATTCTAGACTATATATATACAACAAACCTATAGTCTAGTCTAGTCTAGTCTATAGTCTAGTCTATAGTCTAGTCTAGTCTAGTCTATAGTCTAGTTTATAGTCTAGTCTATAGTCTAGACTATAGTCTAGTCTATAGTCTAGTCTATAGTCTAGTCTATAGTCTAGTCTATAGTATAGTCTATAGTCTAGTCTATAGTCTAGTCTATAGTCTAGTCTATAGTCTAATCTATAGTCTAGTCTATAGTCTAGTCTATAGTCTAGTCTATAGTCTAGTCTATAGTCTAGTCTATAGTCTAGTCTATAGTCTATAGTCTAGTCTATAGTCTAGTCTATAGTCTAGTCTATAGTCTAGTCTATAGTCTAGTCTATAGTCTAGTCTATAGTCTAGTCTATAGTCTAGTCTATAGTCTAGTCTATAGTCTAGTCTATAGTCTAGTCTAGTCTAGTCTATAGTCTAGTCTATAGTCTAGTCTATAGTCTAGTCTATAGTCTAGTCCTAGTCTATAGTCTAGTCTATAGTCTAGTCTATAGTCTAGTCTATAGTCTAGTCTATAGTCTAGTCTATAGTCTAGTCTATAGTCTAGTCTATAGTCTAGTCTATAGTCTAGTCTATAGTCTAGTCTATAGTCTAGTCTATAGTCTAGTCTATAGTCTAGTCTATAGTCTAGTCTATAGTCTAGTCTATAGTCTAGTCTATAGTCTAGTCTATAGTCTAGTCTATAGTCTAGTCTATAGTCTAGTCTATAGTCTAGTCTATAGTCTAGTCTATAGTCTAGTCTATAGTCTAGTCTATAGTCTAGTCTATAGTCTAGTCTATAGTCTAGTCTATAGTCTAGTCTATAGTCTAGTCTATAGTCTAGTCTATAGTCTAGTCTATAGTCTAGTCTATAGTCTAGTCTATAGTCTAGTCTATAGTCTAGTCTATAGTCTAGTCTATAGTCTAGTCTATAGTCTAGTCTATAGTCTAGTCTATAGTCTAGTCTGTAGTCTAGTCTATAGTCTAGTCTATAGTCTAGTCTATAGTCTAGTCTATAGTCTAGTCTATAGTCTAGTCTATAGTCTAGTCAATAGCCTAGTCTATAGTCTAGTCTATAGTTTAGTCTATAGTCTAGTCTATAGTTTAGTCTATAGTCTAGTCTATAGTTTAGTCTATAGTCTAGTCTATAGTTTAGTCTATAGTCTAGTCTATAGTCTAGTCTATAGTCTAGTCTATAGTTTAGTCTATAGTCTAGTCTATAGTCTAGTCTATAGTCTAGTCTAGTCTATAGTCTAGTCTAGTCTATAGTCTAGTCTATAGTCTAGTCTAGTCTATAGTCTAGTCTAGTCTATAGTCTAGTCTATAGTCTAGTCTATAGTCTAGTCTATAGTCTAGTCTATAGTCTAGTCTATAGTCTAGTCTATAGTCTAGTCTATAGTCTAGTCTATAGTCTAGTCTATAGTCTAGTCTATAGTCTAGTCTATAGTCTAGTCTATAGTCTAGTCTATAGTCTAGTCTATAGTCTAGTCTATAGTCTAGTCTATAGTCTAGTCTATAGTCTAGTCTATAGTCTAGTCTATAATAGTCTATAGTCTAGTCTATAGTCTAGTCTATAGTCTAGTCTATAGTCTAGTCTATAGTCTAGTCTATAGTCTAGTCTATAGTCTAGTCTATAGTCTAGTCTATAGTCTAGTCTATAGTCTAGTCTATAGTCTAGTCTATAGTCTAGTCTATAGTCTAGTCTATAGTCTAGTCTATAGTCTAGTCTATAGTTTAGTCTAGTCTTATAGTTTAGTCTATAGTCTAGTCTATAGTCTAGTCTATAGTCTAGTCTATAGTCTAGTCTAGTCTATAGTCTAGTCTATAGTCTAGTCTATAGTCTAGTCTATAGTCTAGTCTATAGTCTAGTCTATAGTCTAGTCTATAGTCTAGTCTATAGTCTAGTCTAAGTCTAGTCTATAGTCTAGTCTATAGTCTAGTCTATAGTCTAGTCTATAGTCTAGTCTATAGTCTAGTCTATAGTCTAGTCTATAGTCTAGTCTATAGTCTAGTCTATAGTCTAGTCTATAGTCTAGTCTATAGTCTAGTCTATAGTCTAGTCTATAGTCTAGTCTATAGTCTAGTCTATAGTCTAGTCTATAGTCTAGTCTAGTCTAGTCTATAGTCTAGTCTATAGTCTAGTCTATAGTCTAGTCTATAGTCTAGTCTATAGTCTAGTCTATAGTCTAGTCTATAGTCTAGTCTATAGTCTAGTCTATAGTCTAGTCTATAGTCTAGTCTATAGTCTAGTCTATAGTCTAGTCTATAGTCTAGTCTATAGTCTAGTCTATAGTCTAGTCTATAGTCTAGTCTATAGTCTAGTCTATAGTCTAGTCTATAGTCTAGTCTATAGTCTAGTCTATATTCTAGTCTATAGTCTAGTCTGTAGTCTTGTCAATAGTCTACTCTAATCTATAGTCTAGTCTATAGTCTTGTCAATAGTCTACTCTAATCTATAGTCTAGTCTATAGTCTAGTCTATAGTGTATTCTATAATATCTATTTTAGGTCATTATCTTTTTATCTATTTTAGGTCATTTAGTTCGATTTTAAAATTAAATATTTATTCTTTTCTCTTCCAGGGCTCTACTTGTGCCTTAGTCGATGCCATTTTACGTTCCTACAAAGTTAAAACCGGTTTCTACAGTTCACCCCATCTAGTGTCGGTAACCGAACGCATACGCATTAATGGCCAACCCATATCAAAGCAAAAATTCAATCAATACTTCTGGCCTGTCTACAATAAGCTAATGGAAACACAGGAATATGAAAATGATATGCCGGCATATTTTAAATTTCTCACAGTTCTGTCATTTCACGTTTATCTGGGTGAAAAGGTAGATGTGGTGATATTGGAAGTGGGCATAGGTGGAGAATTAGATTGTACCAATGTAGTGCCCAATACAAAAACTGTGGGTATTTCTTCATTGGGTTTAGAACACACACAATTGCTGGGTAATACACTTAAAGAAATAGCCTGGCAAAAGGCGGGCATTATTAAGCCTCACTCCACGGTTTATACATCGGTTCAGCAAAAGGAATGTTTAGATGTTATATATGAAAGAGCAAAAGAAAAACAAGCGGTAGTGCATAGAGTACCAGAGTTTGAATCATATTTCCGAGATCCTTCAGTGGAACATGTTAAGAAACAGTTAAATAATTGCACGATACTAAATGGTTCTTTAGCTTTACAGTTGGCCTATGATTGGTTAAGACAAAATTGTAATGGTTTTCATCGAGAATATGAAGTAAATAAACCACAACTAACAGAACAGGCCATTAAAGGTATTTTGAACTGCAACTGGCCGGGCAGATGTCAAAAAGTGAAATTTTTTAATTTCAAGTAAGTTTTCTAGCAAAAGTTTCTTAATTAAGAAAATAATTTTACTTTCTTGTTTTAGTATTCATTTGGATGGAGCCCATACGGTGGAAAGTATGCAAGTATGTGGGCAATGGTTTTCACAAGTAACCGCCGATACAGCTATACCCAAAATTCTACTCTTCAATACTACAGGAGATCGTGATTCTGAAAAACTTTTAACTATTTTACGTAATTTCACCACTTTTGACTTGGTCTGTTTTGTACCAAATATTGCCTCTTTAACCAAAGATAAAAATCAAGATAATAAATCGATCTTATATAGTTATACGGAACAACTGAAACGAGCCCAAATGCATGCCACCAATTGGGAAAAAATGTGCCAGGAAGACAAAGAAACCAATACGGGCAAAGTATTTCCCACAATCGTTGAAAGTTTTCAACATATACGTCAGGTTTATAACAAATCAGAGGAATTAAATATATTAGTAACAGGTTCTATACATTTAATAGGAGCCACTATATTATCGCTAAATGAATTGTGTCCGGAGTTAAATGAGGAATATAAGTAGCTTTAGAATTTAACATAGACATTGTGAAAATTACTATAGTTTTTAGGTTATAGTTTTGTAAATAGCATTTACTTAATTAGAAATTGTTAATAATAATAAAAAAAATATGAATTGAATAAATTAAGAAAACATTTTCTTTAAAAAATTTTATACGAAAAAACAACACAAGAACTAGTGTATAGAGTGATCTATAAACCAGTCTATAGAGTGATCTATAGACCACTCTATAGATCACTCTATAGACCAGTCTATAGAGTGATCTATAGACCAGTCTATAGAGTGATCTATAGACCAGTCTATAGAGTGATCTATAGACCAGTCTATAGAGTGATCTATAGACCAGTCTATAGAGTGATCTATAGACCAGTCTATAGAGTGATCTATAGACCAGTCTATGGAGTTATCTATAGACCAGTCTATGGAGTGATCTATAGACCAGTCTATAGAGTGATCTATAGACCAGTCTATGGAGTGATCTATAGACCAGTCTATGGAGTGATCTATAGACCAGTCTATAGAGTGATCTATAGACCAGTCTTTAGAGTGATCTATAGACCAGTCAATAGAGTGATCTATAGACCAGTCTATGGAGTGAACTATAGACCAGTCTATAGAGTGATCTATAAACCAGTCTATAGATTGATCTATAGACCAGTCTATAGAGTGAACTATAGACCAGTCTATAAAGTGATCTATAGACCAGTCTATAGAGTGATCTATAGACCAGTCTATAGAGTGATCTATAGACCAGTCTATAGAGTGATCTATAGACCAGTCTAAAAAGTGATCTATAGACCAGTCTATAAAGTGATCTATAGACCAGTCTAAAAAGTGATCTATAGACCAGTCTAAAAAGTGATCTATAGACCAGTCTATAGAGTGATCTATAGACCAGTCTATAGAGTGATCTATAGACCAGTCTATAGAGTGATCTATAGACCAGTCTATAGAGTGATCTATAGACCAGTTTATAGAGTGATCTATAGACCAGTCTATAGAGTGATCTATAGACCAGTCTATAGAGTGATCTATAGACCAGTCTATAGAGTGATCTATAGACCAGTCTATAGAGTGATCTATATACCAGTCTATAGAGTGATCTATAGACCAGTCTATAGAGTGATCTATAGACCAGTTTATAGAGTGATCTATAGACCAGTCTATAGAGTGATCTATAGACCAGTCTATAGAGTGATCTATAGACCAGTCTATAGAGTGATCTATAGACCAGTCTATAGAGTGATCTATAGACCAGTCTATAGAGTGATCTATAGACCAGTCAATGGAGTGATCTATAGACCAGTCTATGGAGTGATCTATAGACCAGTCAATAGAGTGATCTATAAACCAGTCTATAGAGTGATCTATAAACCAGTCTATAGAGTGATCTATAGACCAGTCTATAGAGTGATCTACAGACCAGCCTATAGAGTGATCTATAGACCAGTCTATAGAGTGATCTGTAGACCAGTCTATAGAGTGATCTATAGACCAGTCTATAGACCAGTCTATGGAGTGATCTATAGACCAGTCTATAAACTGATCTACAGACCAGTCTATAGAGTGATCTACAGATCAGTCAATAGAGTGATCTATAGGCCAGTCTGTAAAGTGATCTATAGACCAGTGATCTATCCAGATACTTTATTTTAAGCGGAACTTTAACTTTTTAACATAAAAATTTACTCTTATCATAATTTCATATACTTTTTTTAAAAAATACTAATTTAAACAATTATATCCTTAAATATTTTGTTTTGGCTTTCAACACACATTTTCACACAGTTCCGCTTCAAGTCCGTTATTTATTTAGTTTTCAAAATTGCAATATATAATTGCACTTAAAGAAATAACTACAAAAATAAATTGTAATACAACAATAAAACTAAAAAAATATGTTCAATAATTTCTGATGCGGAAAATTTTAATAAGTTTTTGTGTGATTGCATTTGAAACCATCAAAATGTTGATGATGATTGTTTTATTGCAATTTTTTTTCTGTTTTTTTTTTTTTATTTGAAAAAAATTGTGTGCAATTTTAGAAATCATAAAGTAGCTAAACAAAAACAAACTAATTTGCAGACAGTAAAATGTTAAAGAAATACTTAGTTGCTAATTTTTAAAGTAAAATAATGACATTCTTTTAATGTGGTTTTTTTAAAGAGTAAACAACTTAAAATTCATTTTCTGGCAAAACTAGAAGAGCTAGAGCCTAAATAATGGAAATCTGAGATCACTATCAGTTCCTACCAAAACTCGATTATTGAGTGAAAAACTAAAAGTCCATTTTCTAGCGAAACTAGAAGAGCTAAAGCCTAAATAATGAAAATCTGTGATCAGTCTTATTTCCAACCAACACTCCATTTTAGAGTGAAAAACTAAAAGTCCATTTTCTGGCGAAACTAGAAGAGCTGGGGCCTAAATAATGAAAATTTGTGATCACTTTCATTTCCTACCAAAACTCGATTTTTGAGTGAAAAACTAAAAGTCCATTTTCTGGCGAAACTAGAAGAGCTAGGGCCTAAATAATGAAAATCTGTGATCACTTTTATTTCCTACCAAAACTCGATTTTAGTGTGAAAAACTAAAGTCCATTTTCTGGCGAAACTATAATAGCTAGAGCCTAAATGATGAAAATCTGTGATCACTTTTATTTCCTACCAAAACTCGATTTTAGTGTGAAAAACTAAAAGTCCATTTTCTGGCCAAACTAGAACAGCTAGGGCCTAAATAATGAAAATCTGTGATCACTTTTATTTCCTACCAAAACTCGATTTTTGTGTGAAGAACTAAAAGTCCATTTTCTGGCGAAACTAGAAGAGCTAGGGCCTAAATAATGAAAATCTGTGATCACTTTCATTTCCCACCAAAACCCGATTTTAGTGTGAAAAACTAAAAGTCCATTTTCTGGCGAAACTAGAAGAGCTAGGGCCTAAATAATGAAAATCTGTGATCAGTTTTATTTCCTACCAAAACTCGATTTTTGAATGAAAACCTAAAAGTCCATTTTCTGGCGAAACTAGAAGAGCTGGAGCCTAAATAATGAAAATCTGTGATCACTTTTATTTCCTACCAAAACTCGATTTTTGAGTGAAAAACTAAAAGTCCATTTTCTGGCGAAACTAGAAGAGCTAGGGCCTAAATACTGAAAATCTGTGATCACTATTATTTCCTACCAAAACTCGATTATTGAGTGAAAAACTAAAAGTCCATTTTCTAGCGAAACTAGAAGAGCTAGGGCCTAAATACTGAAAATCTGTGATCACTTTTATTTCCTACCAAAACTCGATTTTTGAGTGAAAAACTAAAAGTCCATTTTCTGGCGAAACTAGAAGAGCTAGGGCCTAAATACTGAAAATCTGTGATCACTTTTATTTCCTACCAAAACTCGACTTTTGAGTGAAAAACTAAAAGTCCATTTTCTGGCGAAACTAGAAGAGCTAGGGCCTAAATACTGAAAATCTGTGATCACTTTTATTTCCTACCAAAACTCGATTTTTGAGTGAAAAGCTAAAACTTCATTTTCTGGCGAAACTAGAAGAGCTAGAGCCTAAATACTGAAAATCTGTGATCACTTTTATTTCCTACCAAAACTCGATTTTTGAGTGAAAAACTAAAACTTCATTTTCTGGCGAAACTAGAAGAGCTAGGGCCTAAATACTGAAAATCTGTGATCACTATTATTTCCTACCAAAACTCGATTATTGAGTGAAAAACTAAAAGTCCATTTTCTAGCGAAACTAGAAGAGCTAGGGCCTAAATAATGAAAATCTGTGATCACTTTTATTTCCTACCAAAACTCGATTTTTAAGTGAAAAACTAAAAGTTAATTTTCTGGCGAAACTAGAAGAGCTAGGGCCTAAATACTGAAAATCTGTGATCACTTTTATTTCCTACCAAAACTAGGTTTTTGAGTGAAAAACTAAAACTTCATTTTCTGGCGAAACTAGAAGAGCTAGAGCCTAAATACTGAAAATCTGTGATCACTTTTATTTCCAACCAAAACTCGATTTTTAAGTGAAAAACTAAAAGTTAATTTTCTGGCGAAACTAGAAGAGCTAGGGCCTAAATACTGAAAATCTGTGATCACTTTTATTTCCTACCAAAACTCGATTTTTGAGTGAAAAACTAAAACTTCATTTTCTGGCGAAACTAGAAGAGCTAGGGCCTAAATACTGAAAATCTGTGATCACTTTTATTTCCAACCAAAACTCGATTTTTGAGTGAAAAATTAAAAGTCCATTTTCAGGCGAAACTAGAAGAGCTAGAGCCTAAATACTGAAAATCTGTGATCACTTTTATTTCCAACCAAAACTAAAAGTCCATTTTCTGGCGAAACTAGAAGAGCTAGCGCCTAAATACTGAAAATCTGTGATCACTTTCATTTCCAACCAAAACTCGATTTTTGAGTGAAAAACTAAAAGTCCATTTTCTGGCGAAACTAGAAGAGCTAGAGCCTAAATAATGGAAATCTGTGATCACTTTTGAGTGAAAACCTAAAAGTCCATTTTCTGGCGAAACTAGAAGAGCTAGAGCCTAAATAATGGAAATCTGTGATCACTTTTGAGTGAAAACCTAAAAGTCCATTTTCTGGCGAAACTAGAAGAGCTAGAGCCTAAATAGTGAAAATCTGTGATCACTTTTATTTTCTACCAGAACTCGATTTTTGAGTGAAAAACTAAGAGTCCATTTTCTGGCCAAACTAGAAGAGCTAGGGCCTAAATACTGAAAATCTGTGATCACTTTTATTTCGTAACAAAACTCGATTTTTGAGTGAAAAACTAAAAGTCCATTTTCTGGCGAAACTAGAAGAGCTAGAGCCTAAATAATGAAAATCTGTGATCACTTTTGAGTGCAAAACTAAAAGTCCATTTTCTGGCGAAACTAGAAGAGCTAGAGCCTAAATAATAAAAATCTGTGATCACTTTTATTTTCTACCAGAACTCGATTTTTGAGTGAAAAACTAAGAGTCCATTTTCTGGCCAAACTAGAAGAGCTAGGGCCTAAATAATGAAAATCTGTGATCACTTTTATTTCCAACCAAAATTCGATTTTTGAGTGAAAAACCAAAAGTTCATATTCTGGCGAAATTAGAAGAGCTATAGCCTAACTAATGAAAATCTGTGATCA